AGAGGACCTGGGCTGGATTTCCAGCACCCTTATCAGGCACTTTACAACTGCCTATAACTCCAGCTCAGGGGATCTGACATCTGCATCCTCCACAGGCACCTGCACTGAGGAGCACACACACACAGACACACACAGACACACACACACAAAAGGGAATTTTAGACATTGTCAAGTTCAACTTTCTCTCAATTCAAGAAGAAAACTTAAGCTTTCAAGCTCCACACTCCAATACCAAAGCTCTTCTCACATCACTAAAAGGCATCACATCAGCACAGGGTTTTTCAGAGTGTATGTATGTTTAGTGAACAAGTCATATTTTATATGAAATTTGACAGGAAATGCTTAGTGTTTTAAATGAAGCAAGGCTGCTCTGGTTGAAGTAGGCATCTTCTAAGAACCCTTTGTGCTTTATAGAACTGGGGTTGAAAACTGGGGAGGATGATGGTCATTGCTCTGTGGACAATGGATGGTAATCTGAAATTAGAGGAGTAGAGATTATCATAGCTGAACAAAGCCTGAAGTAGGACCTTATTCTACAACACAATGTAAGTATCCTTTCAGTGATGTCTACAAATTGAGAGTCTGGGACTTAAGTAAAATCTGTAGTAATAAACCATATACTCATATGATGAAAAATTAGGAGTTCTAGTGCCAACACCGAGGCCATTAGATTTAAGGTAAACTGAGAATATCTTGTTAATTTTAACAATAGTGTAAGTATCCCAGGCTGGAGGTAAATATTTTGGAGGCATCTCTATGTAGATAGTAAACTAAAGCTAAGTAATTATCTGCAGGTTCATAAGACTCAGTACCAACATCAGCAGTGTTGTAGCCAGATCTCAGCATTTTCTGGAAATGAATCATCTTCTCCAATATTGTCTAAGCCATCAGAAATGACTGCTAATGTCTGCAGGTCAAGTTTGCAAGAGCTATTTAAAGGGTTTTGCCTATCATTCTCTTTCTCTTCTATATTTAAACCTCCAAGGTCTCAGGCCCGTGCTGGCCTTTGTTTCTGCTAGAAATTTCTGGTTTGGAGAAATTAAGAGCCAGATTCCTGTGAGAATTGTTTGACCCTTTGAGTTCAAATTGTATTTGCTTGAAATAGAAATTATATTGGATAAGAGGCTCAAATGATTCCAGTGGCTAAAATACACAAACACCAGTTTAGGTCATTTCTGGTCCTGGTTGATCAAATGATTGAAATGAAAAGACTGCTCATCTGTCTTAAAGATGAACGATGTGACAGGGTCAGATCCCAACAACTTAATCTCATATTTGAATTTGTGACTTGAGATAAGACTTAAGAGGGAGTCTTCTGTTTCAAACCAGAAAAAATGCAAAAGATCAAAACAGACATTTCTGTTTTAATGTAGGAATGTTTAATTCATTTTGATAGCTGGGATCTACATTCATTACTAAAGAAAGCATATTTAGGAATTCCTCTAAGAATAACAGCTACTGAACCAGCGTGCTAACCCTCCCTCATGATACTGAGCTTCCATTTAGGCCAGTGGGATGAATGCTGAGTTTTGATATTACATAGTAAATACCATGCACCCTAGTACATTACACAAACAGGGAATGAAAGCACAAATAATATTTTCTAAAATTACTATTCTAAAATATACTAAACCTGGGGCTGAAGAGATGGCTCAGCGGTTATGAGGTCTGGCTATTCTTGTAGAGAACCCAGGTTTGGTTCCCAGGACCCAACTGGCAACAAACAAGTATCCATAACTCCAGTTCCAGGGGATCTGACACCCTCTTCTGACCTCTACGGGCATTGCACATACATGGTATAATTACATACATTCAGGCAAAACACTCATATACATAAAATAAAAATAAATTTTTAAAACTTTTAAAAATAGAGTATACTAAACTGGAATGTTTGTCATCTGAGGCTTTTGATGACCCAAACTCGATGGTCCAAAAGAATATGGACATATATGAACCATTTCTATCAAGCACAGGACTTTGTTCTAGAAAGGAAAACCCACCCATTGCCTTTGTACAATGGGTTATTCTGGTGTGTGTGTGTGTGTGTGTGTGTGTGTGTGTGTGTGTGTGTGTGTGTGTGTAAATGAGGTTAGAGGTCAACCTCAGGTGTCATTCCTAAGAATGAAATATATCTTGCCTTTTGAGACAGAATCTCTTCCTGGTCTGGAACTCATCAACTCATTAGGCTGACTGGCCAATGAGCCCCAGAAATATACCCATCTCCACCTCCCCAGTGCTAGGATTACAGCATGGGCCATTACACCCATTCTTTTTATATGAGTTCCAGGAGTAGAACTCAGGTCCTCACACTTGCCAAAGGAGCCATCTCTCCAACCCCAGTCATTCCAATCCGTCTCCCTGGGTTCCTTTCCAGATATTCAATTCAAGAAGAATATGTTTAGATCATATCAAATTTGGCGTTGGTGAATGGCTTTTACTTTCTAAACAAAGAACACAACAAATATCACATTAGTTCCATATTGGTTAAATTAGTTGCTTGTTTCAGTTTGATCAGCACAAATTGCATTCTTGTTGCTCAACTTAACCTTTATAACCCCACTGGAAGAGAAAGAATAACCTCTCAGAAGTGTCTAATTAGTTTGAAATCCAGAAGGTCTTTTCAAAATTCTTTCAAAGCCCTCCCATTCCTGTCCCACCTACTTTTTGAAATGGCAACATTTAGCTTCCAAGTTTCTATGCTTTTGAAAGAATAAGCCCAAGAGTTGCAGAAAATTCATGGCATTGAAATTTGTCTGTATGTGGTTTTGATGTTTCCTTTTTGAACTTCAACTTGACATTGCTTCATAAGTTACATTTGTCCTTCCTTGTTTTTTTTTTTTTTTTCCCTCTTTCAAAAGTTTAGTTTTATTGTTAGTATTCTGCACAGATTTCTGTGGCTTTTCTTGTTTGCTTTGTTTCCATGAGCTCTGCAGGGGGAAAATATTCAGCAGGTGGAATGTGGAACCTGGCAGGCACTGCCATTAGTCCTTTGGGGTTGCATACTGGCTTCTCCCACTAGAGCTCTGGAAAGGTGTTACCTTTAGAGCATCCCTTCGCATTAGCAGTACGATGATGGAGAATAGCAGCCAACTTGCAGCTCGTTCAAGGATGTAGGTTATAACCCTCCATTCAAGCTAATGCTTGTTGATGTTATAGCTTTTTTTCCAAGTTGACCCTTTCGGCCTCTCCTCTTATGTAGCCATGCATCATCTCCATCAGGAGAGGGTTTGCAAAATTGTGTTTTGCTCTTTGAAAAACATGGAATTGCTTATAGCTGGAAAAAGAAGAGAGCATTTATTCAAGGACCTAGAGACCTCTGCTGGTTAAGTGACTTATTGAGTGTTTTTCTATCTTTGTTTATTTTTGAGAAGGTAAGATACACAGCTTGGCCTTGATGCTACCAATTTCCTTTTTATTTAAATTGTTGGTGACTTGAAGCCTCATAGAGTAGAGATACTGAAGTCAAGTCACCTAAAAGACATGTTAAGAATATTGAGCAGTTTGTCCTAACTAATACTGGTATCAACTATAATCAGTAAGTTAACATTGGTAGGTATTGCCTTTTGAAATGCCATGTGAACATGTAACATTTCTGAATAGTAGCTGTAGTTATCTTCTGCGTGACTTTGAGAAAAAGTTCTTTTACCTAATATATTTACCACTGTAGATAAAAGCTTGAACTGTGCTCTAGGCAAAAACTGATATTCGTGAATAGTTTTTATGGAACATTGTCTTTATAGCCAATGAGACTAGAGAATAATAAAACATGACTTCAACTGAAGCATGAAAAACATTGTACAGTGTGGGTCGTGGGAGTGTTGTTTTGACTGGGAAATGTAAAAGTTAAATTCTGCTTTGAACTCCCATGTTAGATTGTGGGCAGAACATAGTTTCTAAAAAGGGCATAGTGCTGTGACTAGCATTCTTTCAATATGGAACCAGCAAATAATAAGCAACCATGATAGTTCATCAAAGACATATAGGGCCTGCAAAGTTTGTGTAGCCCATGGAAATCAATTATGTTAGTCAGAGACAGGGTGAACTGTACTAATGAAAGATATCTCAGCATATGATGGATTACATAAGAAGCCGATTTCGCTCACACATTTTGTTTCCAAAACTGAGCACACATCTCTTGCTTTTGGGTTGCTTTGTTCTGCAGTGTCATTCAGGGTCCAAGGTGGACTGGTCAGTAATTCCATTCCCACACAGCTGCTGTCTTTGTCTCCAAGCTTGTTTTAGTGGTTATCATTTTCCAATCAGCATGAAGGGCAGAGTTCTAAGTAAATAACCTGAGGCTGTTCTCTCCCTTTCACACAACTCCAACTACTCACTTGGTTACTTCTTGATAAAAGATTAATCTGGAAAACTGTACCTAAGAATTCGTGACCTTGGGGCTGGAGAGATGGCTCAGCAGTTAAGAGCAGTGACTGCTCTTTTGCAGAGGACCCAGGTTTGATTCCCAGCGCCCACATGGCGGCTATGGACCATCCTTAACTCCGGTTCCAGGGGAATCTGATATCTTCTTCTGACCTCCGTGACATTGCACAACACAGGTGCACTCACATACATGCAGACAATACACTCATACAGATAAACAATAAATAAATAAAAATTAAAAAAGAATTCATGACCTCAGCCAAAAGTTGTGGAATGGTCCTTGAGTCTTTTTCTCATTAAAAACATAATAATAATAATTATTAATAATAATAATAATAACAACAATGATACTTAAGGGACAGAAACAATTAGTTTTGACCTATGGGTAATGCAAGTTTTATTGATTCTGCCTTTAGTGATTAATAAAGATCAACAAGGAGGACTATAAATAGAATTCCTAAAGGGTATCTGTACTCCTGAATTTCCTCCACCCTGTTATTTGTATAACATGTGGGAAAGGAATTTGATTAAAACCTATTTTACTCTTTGATCGAATATGATAAAAAGAGTTTGAGTATGCATTGAATATATGCATTTTCTTTGTTTTTGAATTGTTGTAGCCCAACCTAACTGGATTCAAAGAATAAATGATATCCATGTGGCCATGGAAGAAAGTGTCCTCTGGGAATGTAAAGCTAATGGGAGGCCTAAGCCTACATATAGGTGGCTGAAAAATGGTGAACCATTGTTAACTCGGGTAAGTAAATTGATGGTAATTTTATCTTAACAGAGACTGCAATATTGAATGAGGCCTCATTGCTATGGAAACAAGAAAATGTTGTTTCCAAAATAACAAGCAACTAAATGCCATTAATAATGGAAAAAGTAGAAGTGAATGAAGCTGATAAATAGAAAATATACATAAATCCAATCCTCCATTCAGTTAAGCATTATACCCAATCTTTGTACTTCACAGATTAGCATTTATAGCTTTATAATGAGACAGTTACACAGAGTGTCTGGAATAGGTTGCTTTGCTGGGACATAGGAAACCACATCCCAGGATCTTCAAGAGGAAGAGTGTTGATATGATGCAGGAATGGCTTCTTAGTACAATGAAGCTCTCATGAAGTCTAAACCTGCCGAGGTAGGCTGGAGGCTCTTAGAATGAGGAAGAGCTGTGTGAAGTTTAATTTTCCTGACTGTGTTTTCCTACTAAACTTCAAATGTTAACTGTAATTTAGCCCTTTCCTCAGGCCACACACTGAGAGCCACGTTTCATGCTCAGACTTTTTTCCCCCATAGGACACCTAAGAAAGACAAAATAAAATCTGGGCAACTGGAAAAGAAAGGGGACTTTTTCTCTTGCCCACCCAATCTCATGATCATCCCCAACCCCCAAATGTTTCTCTAGCCCATCTTTCCCTCAGTTACAAAAGTCAAACAAATTGCTAGATTGTAGATGTCCGGGTACCTGGCATTTCCCCTCTCTATGGAGTATGAGGGGACATGGAAGCCGAGATTTGACTAAAGTTTAATCAGGTACCCATTCACCTAAGTAGGAATCTTGGAGAAATTTTTACTCTAAGGCTTTGTGCTAATGGGAAAGAGGGCGAGAGAGAGAGAGAGAGAGAGAGAGAGAGAGAGAGAGAGAGAGAGAGAGAGTTTAATCTGGACAGGATGAAATTCCACGTGATATAGAAATGGATACCCAAGTTGCATGATTTCAGGGTGACAAATGAGAAAGTTCTCTTGTACCACGTATTACCCTTGCTTCCATCACCTTGACTAGTAGCAGATCATAAGCATGAATCATTCCATTAATAGCAGTCAGTATCAGAACTTGAACTATTAACACTTATTTTTTTTGTAAATTCAACAAGTATTAAATATTTTATCTGCTTCATCCAAGATTATAATCCTATGGGTCCTCAAAATGTTGTCTGATGGTAATTTAAGGATTCTGAACTCTAAATGACAAATTTGGTTGTATTTTCACCCCTCTCCACACTTAGCACAAAGCCTTAGAGTGATATTAGCATTTTAACTTTAAGGTTCATCTATTTCTAAGGCATATTAATCTGAATGGCGTCCCAATTAAATCAATGAGAACTCAAGGGAGTCCTACATTTTAAACTCCTTTACCAACTGATATGTTACTGGTTCTGTTTAACATCTGCCCTGCCACAGATTTACTTGACAGATAAACAGCTCATATTGTGTACCTTGTGTATATGATGACTATTATCTTCCCATTAAGCCCCCTTGACATAACATGTAGCAAAATTGCCTTACGTTCTCAGAAATAGATGGTCATTATTTTTGCCTTTCTCTTTCTTTCACAGGATCGAATTCAAATCGAGCAAGGGACACTCAATATAACAATAGTGAATCTCTCAGATGCCGGCATGTACCAATGTGTGGCAGAGAATAAACATGGAGTTATCTTTTCCAGTGCTGAGCTTAGTGTAATAGGTGAGTTTTCATCCTGGAAAAGAAAAAAAAAAAAAAAAGGAAACTCTTATACTCTTCAAAGCACTAAAGTAACAAGTAAATTTGTCAATCATAAAATAAATTCAAGAGATCATAAAAGAAATCTTTTGACTTGAAGATACTGTTCTAGAAACCAGTCGTGCAGTCTCAAGCAACACAAAGGAAGAGACCACTTTCTAAATCAACTTCTGCCTGTGCGTACAATGGGTAACCCAGCTCCCTTGGCACTAATTCTTATTTGTCTATAGGCCATCCTTCTTAATTGAGCAAAGTTTCTGAAGTACATTGGAGTCTGCTATAATCATTCTGATTTGGTACCAACTCCACCTCGGAGAGGGTAGAGCTACTGCTTCCCTTCAGAACTAACCAGCTCTCTGATCTGCAGGTCCACCACCCTCTCTTCCTCAGTGTATGCATTTAATTATTAATTGACTTAACTCATCAATCCATTTTATGAAACAATCTACTCATCAGTCCATTTTATGAAACAGTCTCTCAACTCCTTTATTCACTTCATACTCACATTCATTCTTTTATTCATTCAGTGTTTATTGAGTGCCTACTATGTGATTCAGTGTTGCATTCAGTACTGGTGGCGCTATTTTCCCACAGACCAGTGAACACACTGCTCCTGCCTGCAGTGCATCCCCTTCCCTTCTTCACTTCATTCTAGCAGTACTTCCCATTCTCCATGTTTCGTTCCCATGATGGCATCCTCAGGAAATCATGACAAGCCCTATATAGGGTCATGTTCCCCCATAACTGATTCCTTTACCTCCCTCTTTTTCATAACAGAGGCCACAGCTGCATTTTATGCTTATGTGGTCATTCTTTTTCTCCCATTACATTTTTAAATTCCCAAGGATGTCAATGCTCAACTCATCATAATATCCTCTGGACTGAATACATACTTAAATACATAGGAGATACTCAGTAAATACTGAATGAATAAGGATGTTAAGTAATGAAAGAGTGGAGCAATTATTTCATAAAATGGCTTCATATATTAATAAATAAATAATTGATAAATCTGTAGGCATTTAAAAAAAAAAAAGTCCAGGCCAGGAACTTGCATGTATCCCATTGAAAGTTCTTGAATTTAGCTATTATTGAAAGAAGGAGCTGAGAATAATCTAAAAGCATCAAAACAACTGTAAAAGATTCCACCGCACATACTAGTTTACAGGGTCTAAGCATTAGTTCTTGATGGGGTCATAAAAAAGGAAAATGAGGAAAACAGTACAGAAAGGGAGCCATTCACATACTTGATAGCTCCTCCAGTCTCAAAGTCCTGACTTCCCTTTGTAAATCCATCTCACTGCCTGTGTGAAGATCTGACATTCGGAAGTGCATACTCTTAAAGCAAGCAACTTCCAACCTGTGCAGAGTAGGAAAGGAAGGAAAAGTTTCTAAATCTTCTTACCAAATCCTTCAGGTTAGGCCAACATCGAGGGCAATGGTTTGTGAGAGTTCATAAAGTCACAGCCGAGTGCAGCAGGCCTCAGAGCAGGTCTGCGCATCTGGAATAAGCACTGACTTGTCCTGGCCTGTTGTAGTCATGGCACTTTTTAAAACTACCATTTACTTTCCTCTGACTCTGGAGATACTGGGAATAATGATTTCAGCCATTCAGTTTCCTCCAGGACAAGCACAATGGTGGTTCCATCTGCCTAGGTTTCCTCTGATTCTTGGTTTTAGCTCCTGGAGTACAGTTCACCACCATAGATTGGTTAAGAGTTTCCTCAGAATGACATATGTTCTCTAGCTGACTATATGCCAGCTAGTTAGAGGAGTATCTAAAAGTGAGAGGTGATAGCCTCATGAAAGGATTTATGGCATCTAACCCCTTGAAAATGTTTGCCAATTTCTATCTGGAGAATACGTTATAATTTTTGAAGCTATTAAAGATAGCTTTGCTAAAATAGGAAGATTTGATACTTACAGATATTTACAGTAAAGTGAGAGAAGCTCTTAACTGATTTTATCTAGCATTGCAATCACAGTAGAAAATAACTGAATGTGTGGATAGACTAGATAGATAGATGATAGATAGATGATAGATAGATAGATAGATAGATAGATAGATAGATAGATAGATAGATAGATGATAGAAGATTGATAGATATAATAGACTGGTGACAAGTAGATGGCAGATAGGTAGATGATGATATATAGAAGATAGATGATAGATAGATAGATAGATAGATAGATAGATAGATGAGAGATTGATTGGAGAAAGATAAATTGACTTGTGACAGCTAGGTAGATGATAGATACATAGATGACAGTGATTATTGACAGATAGATGACAGATAGATGATTAATAGATGAAAGAAAGATAGATGACAGATATATAAAAGATGATGGTTGATAGATAATAGATGGCAGACAGACAGACAGATAACATAACAGCTAGCTAGTGTTTAAGGCCATTGAGTTAAGATTCACTGCTCCAAATTTGTATTAAAAGATTTATTTCAAATAATTTTTAAACTGGACTGTGCAATTCTAAATTAATTTTCAATCTGAATTGTTTTCTATGTTCCCTAAGATCAACTCACATGTGGCTGAAGATGTGAAATCATAAACTTACTTAAAACATGAGGGTTTTTTTGTAACTTGATTGCACATTTCTCAAGCATAAACTTTGCAGATGACAATATTGTGTTGCAACGTCAAAAGGTTTGATATGCCTGTTCAAGTCCAGTAACAAAACTACCATAAATCAGGTCCTTAAAAACAATAGAATCAGTGTCACAGGTTTTGAGACAGGAACTATGGAGTGAGGTGACTTGCTGTGGCAGTGATGGCTCCCTTCATGGTTACTGGCTCCAGGGTTTCCACTGTGTCCTCACATGGCAGGAGGAGCAAGAACCTCCCTGCAGCCTCCGTAGCAAGGGTACTAATCCCGTTCATAAGCACTTCACTTTCATCATATAATCACTCTCCAAAGGCCTCACCTCTTCATCCCATTATCTTGTGTGTCAAGATTTCAAATTACAGGGCCTGAGAGATGAATCAGCACTTAAGAGCACTGGCTGCTCTTACAGAGGACCAGGGTTCTATTCTTAGCACATACATAGTGGCTAACAACCATCTATAACTCCAATTCTAGGGGAATCTAATGCTCTTTTCTGACCTCCACAGGCATTGCATGACACAGGTGCACTTACATACATGCAGGCAAAACCCTTTTACACATAAAATAAAAATAAATAAAATATATATTTTTTAATTTTTACAAAAACTTTATTGAGAATTTCATACATGTATATAAGGTGTTTTGATCAAATCCATGCCCCCTCCCTCCCCTCCAACATTCCCCCCTCTGAAGAGGTAACCCTAAAATCTTTTAAGGGTTACATACACGCTCCCAAATACTTTTGACATTTTTAGGCTTTGGAACAGAATATGTTGCTAACAGGCCCAAGGACATTTTGACTGTTAGCCAAGAAACTGGCTACATTTCTTTGGGGTCTTTTTACCCTAACTCTAAATCTACCTCTATACCTAACAGCAACCCTTACCCTAACCCTAAAAGTAATCCTAGACTTAAACTTAACACTAAATATAATCCCAATGCTTAAACAAACTCTGTGAAGGAGAAGTAAAGCAGGAGTAATTAGCATTACAAGTTCTAGACAGGGAACTAGAAAAAAGTCAGAACGGAGCAATTTTCAGATGTTCACATGAGAGTCCATTTGAGTTTCTTGACAAGGGCTTCCAAAAGCATCCCTCTATTGGGTTCTTCCTCATTTTTCTTTTGTCTTCCAAGCCGGGACTAGTTGGCTGGGAAGAGTGGCTGGAAAGAGTGGCTGGATATTCAGGTGAGGGTCCAATGACCCTGCTTGGCACTCCTTTAATGAATGAGCACAGCTGTCAACAGGCCCAATTGTGACTGTTTTGTGATCAGACTCAGCCGAAGTCATGATGATGGTAGTTATTTCATGCAGAAGGAACTGCTGCATATCATCATCTTATTAAAAAGACCTGGAATTTAAAAGGATTTGGTGCTAGGAGGCACATATGAGGGAGAACATATGTCGTTTATTTTTCTGAGTCTGTGTTACTTCACTTAGTATAACAGTTTCTAGATCCATCCATTTACCTGCAAATTTCATTATTTCATCTTTCTTTACTGCTGAATAGAATTTTTTAAAAAAGATTTCAAAATACATGAATGGGGGAAATTTCCTCTAGATAAGGACCTAGAGGCAATCAATGGCTGCTGAGAGAGGAAGAACCCATTTTCTCCAACGATGAGCTCCCTGATAGGTTATCTAATCACAAGGGTCAGCCCTAAACACATGCTTATATCGGCACCATTAAATAAACTCAGTAGGTTATACGTGCGTGTGTGTATGTGTGTGTGTAATAATAATTAAAGAAGAGGTAGGTTAGGATATTGAAAGAGAGTGGAGGAAATATGGGAGGAGTTGGAAAGGGAAGGATAAGGGGAAGAAATGATGCAAATACAGAACTCCTGCATAAAATACTTAAAAAATTAAATAGAAAGCTGGAAATAGATCTACCACAAAGTCCAGCTATACTACTCTTGGACATAGACCCAAAGGACTCCACATCCTACTATAGAGATACTTGCCAAAATATCTCAAATTATGATTTTTAAAAGCATATTCAGATCAGAGCACTGGAAGAGAGATGAGTAGTTAGCCATCCTGATAGCAAGCACGGTTAACATGAAACAAGTCCAAACAAGAGGTGAAAATGGAAGGACTTAAGTATGAATTCATGGAGGAAGTTTGGTTGATGGGGTGGGCTGGACAGCTCAGCCTTGCACAATTTAGAAAGAAAAGAAAACCAAGAATATTATAGATCAGAGTAAGATGGCTTGAACTAAGTTTCAAGGCCACAAAGTACCCAAGATAATTTCTGTAGATAGAGAATCCTGAATGTTTCTTTAAAAATTGATTCACATGCCTAAAACATGTATCAACAGAACTTAAACCCGAGATGTAAAG